TTTTTTTTTTTTTTTTTCTCAGAACCGGGGATTGAACTCAGACCTTTAAGCGCTTATTCTGAGCTATCTCCCTGGCCCCAAAGATCTTATACTTTTTTTTTTTTTTCCGGGGATTGAACTCAGATCCTTGCGTTTGCTGGTCAAGTGCTTATCCTACTGAGCCATCTCCCCAGCCCCAAAGATCTTATACTTTAGATGCTGAAATGTTTATGGATAAAAAAATGTTAGGGCTGGCCAGAAAGCTCAGCAGACTAAAGCACCTGCTTAGGCAGAGTGCAGTGGCTACAGTTCGATCCCCGGTGCGCCATGATGGTGCCACTCCCGGGGCTCGCTGAGACTGCAATTGAGACTGGGCGTGGTGGACTCACCTGTAATCCCAGAACTTAGGAGGCTGAAAACGGGAATCACTTAAGAGTACGATCTACGTAGTGAGACCCTATAGACCCTGTCCTAAATTCATAAAAGAGGTTATATATAAGATTTGATAAGAAGTAATTGATTATGAATTCATTGCTATAGCTGCCGTGAATGGTGGTGCAGGCCTGTGATCTCGGCACTTATGAGGCTCAGGCAGAAGGATCCTGGTGAGGCCACTGAGTGCCACAGTGAATTCAAGGCCAGCCTGAACTTCACAGTGAACTCATGACTCAAAAAAAAAAAAAAAAAAAAAAAAAAAAAAAAAAAAATCACTGCCTGAACTTTCCAATAATCTGGGGCAAACTGTAGGTGACAGGGACAAAAGAACAGCACCAAGGAAATGAAGGACAGGATTTCTGCCTGCAGAGCTTCCAAGGAGAAGGGCTTACCCCATTGTTTTGGCCACCAGCAGCACAACCACTGGACAGGTGCTTGCTGCTGCTGGGGTTCCTAGTGTTTTTATCTCCCACCTCGGGGACAGTGCTGGGGGCAGGGGGCATAGAGGGTTCGTCCATGCTGCAGCCCACCAGGTCCCCCTGCCCCATTCAGAAGTGTGTGGCTAGGTTATGTGGCTGCAGCTTGCCCTCAGTGGGCACAAGCAGTCCTGGCCAGAGGTACATCACCAACCTGTGCTAGATACCGTTTCGGAAGGCTGGAAGACGGCAGCAGAGGAGGATGGCGGGGAGGCGGTGGAAGAGCTGGCAGACTCCTTCCCCTCTAGCTCAGCCACTGGAAGCAGGAGGTTCTGGGCCAACTGGGTGGGGCTGGCAGGGATGCCATTCTCCAGCAGAAACTCGTCCAGGTCCATGTATTCCAGGTGGAAAGACTCGCCATCATAAGGGATGGTCTTGTCCCAGATGGGCGGCATGAGGGAGGCCGAGACAGCCATAGTACTGGCTGCTGCTGCCTCATCCTCCTCCAGCTTTTCCTTCCCCTTTTCCTTATCTGTGAATAAAATCTGTGATGAGACACTGGAGGACACCTCAATCCCAGGAGATGGGCATGAACCTCTGGAAAGGCCCATCTTTCTCAGAGGCTTAATCCCCCCAAAGCATTTTCAAAGCCCACCCTGTGCTCCAGTTACAACCTGGTGCTTGAACAATGCTGGCTGGATTCCTTTAGAGAGAGCATTATGCCCTCTTCTCTGCATGGCCTTTCTGGAATGCCAGCCAGTCTGATGTGGTCCCTCTGTTAGTGCAGAACAGGGCTTGGGGTTAGCACCTGTAGGAGAGAAGCTACAGAAAGGAAGCAGTTTCTGACCTTTCCTCATAGGTCAGCTTGAAAGGGCTGAGGCCCTTAGGTAAATGATTTTTGTTTCCCTTATCTGTTCCTTCCAGTTATTCTTCTCTATAGCTACCAGGGTTGCCACCCCTGAGCTGTGAAATTTTGACCATAGCCATGTTTTTTAACTTCTCTGAGCCTTAGTGTCTTCCCCTGAGTCGCCTCTTCAGTGAAGATAAGAGAGAACATTTGAAAAGTCTGTCAGAATAGTTGGCAAATAGTAGGAATTCACCAGTCCTGTGAGCTCACAGAAGGTAGGGATTGCATCTGATTAGGTTCTAGATCTCAGAAGTCAGAGGGCTAAGGAAAAATGTGTATAGAAATGGGGAAGATTAGGTTTGCAGACTCACTTTAGGGTCACTGGATTAGGAAGACCTGGAGCTGTCTTTTTAAGACCTCTTTCTTTCTTTCTTTCTTTTTTTTTTCCAGAACCAGGGATTGAACTCAGGCCTTTGTGCTTGCCAGGGAAGCGCTTATTCCACTGAGCCGCCCCTAAGACCTCTGTCAAAACAACCTTTTCCAGAGGCCTTTATCCCTGAGTAAGCAGAAAAGACCCAATGCAGGTTTTCTGAGCAAAAGGAAGGTGGAGCTGAAGAAAAAAAAACTTAACCCCCCCCAAAAAAACCTCTCTTATTCAAAGCAAAACTAATTAGGGCCCGAGAGATAGCTCAGTAGAATAAGTGCTTCCCTGGCAAGTGCAAGGGCCTGAGTTCAATCCCCGGTTCCAGGAAAAAAAAAAAAAAAAAGCAAAAGTAACTGTGAGCTTATCCCACCTGTCTCAGTCAAAAAGTTAAACATATGAAAAAAAATTTGGGCCGGCGACATAGCTCAGTGGACTAAGCATCCGCTTAGGCAAGCACAAGGACCAGAGTTCAATCCCTGGTACCATATGTCCCATCAGCCCCACCCCAGGGACCACCAAGTCTGGGTGTGGTGGCACATACTTGTAATCCCAGCACTGGGGAGGCTAAAAAGAAGAGAATCACTAGGAGTCCGAGCTGCACAGTGAGACTCTGTACCAAATACACTTTTAAAAAAAAGTTATGTACATAGATATTCAAGATACGGCAATTAAGAAAAAAAAAGACAAGCAAAAAATACGACAAGATTGGAAGGAAATCAAACTGACAGGGAGGCTAATCAGAGAAATGGGAGATAAAATGACAAGTTCATAATGGGTTTTCAAAATTGAAAAAGACATCTGAACTTTAGAAGTAAAAAGGAAAACTCAAGTATGATTATGTTGGATATAAACCAGTCATGCATCCACTTATAGACCACAGCTGGTCAAAAATCAATCTGCTATTTCAATAAAAATGGATACACCCAGTGAGTTCCAAAGGATGGGAGTTTTAACAAACAGCAGTAGGTCAGGGCTTCTAATGTGAATTAACCCGAGTTCCTACAACTGCCTCTGCATGAAGCTTTGGTTTAGCACCAGGTGAAAATTTAAAAAGCCAGGTCTTGTGAGATGGTCTTCCTACTATTCTTGGGAGCATGAGTCCACATTCTATCAGAAAGGACTTGACCTATGTGTGGTAGTGTCACTTTGGACCGAGGAGGAAAAGGAAGGAGGGAGAAAAGCAGTCACACCAAAGAACAGGCAACAGTAAGTTCCAGATTTTGCCTGGCCTAAGCAATTAAGAATATTCTGAACCAGTGTTTTCCGTGTGTGTGTGTGTGTGTGTGTGTGTGCGCGCGCGCGCGTGTGGTGTGAGATAACTTTTGAGGCACTGGCAGGGTGTTTTACCAATAAGCTATACTCTTAATAGGGTGGAGTTTTAAATTAATTATAAGGAACAAAGGATGTGGGGCTGGGGAGATGGCTCAGTGGAATAAGCACTTCCCTGGCAAGTGCAAGGATCTGAGTTCAATCCCCCGGTTCCGCAAAAAAAAAAAAAAAAAAGGAATAAAGGAAATGTCCATCACTCAGGTCATAGGGATTGATACCAGTGGCTGCTAGCATGGAAGAACACCAAACCTGGAACCCTAAGGCCTTGCTGAGTGACCTTGAGAATGCATCCCCTACTTCTGTCTTAATTTCCTCAGTAGAAAGGGAGGGTGAGGCCCCATAAGGCTGCTGTGGAAGACTAAATGACTTAAGCTTATGTCATGGTACCTCCTGAACACTCTGCAAATGTAAGGTACAGCAAACATTTAGATGACTGCAATCTGGTAATCTTAAAGAACCTACCAGATGTGAACACCTGCCCTGCAGCTTGTCTCAGTCCTAGACTGGGAACAAAGCACTGCCTTAAAACAAACAAAAAGGTTTGTGCCCATGAGTTCCTGAAACAGGAGAGAGCCTGGCTTCACCTGATGTGCTATAGCTATTTATAATCCAACACTGACAGCCACAAGGATGAGAGCCTCAGAACACACCCAGGAAAGGAGGAAAATGGCGTTTTTTAAAAACGAAAATTCCAGTGGACCTATGCTTTTCCAAATCCCCAAATTACACTGATGGCTGGTGGAAATTCAAAGATCTCAGACTGGAAGTGCATCTCAGTGCACCCCAAGCCCCATGCCTCCTGCTGCTGCCTGAACTTCATCTTTTTTGTTGTTGTTGTTTTCAAAACCGGGGATTGAACTCAGGCTCTTGTGCTTGCCAGGGAAGCGCTCATTCCACTGAGCCATCTCCCTGGCTCCATGAACTTCATCATAAGGTCCAACCAAGGCCAATTTTTTGCTTCCCAAATAGGCCCCGGGGGCCTGGGAGATAGTTCAGTGGAATAAGTGCTTCCCTGGCAAGCACGAGGGCCTGAGTTCAATTCCTGGTTCTGGAAAAAAAAAAAAAAGGAAAAAAGAAAAACAACCAAATAGGTCCCGGGGACCCTGGTGGCCTAGGCAATAAGATGAAAGTTCACCCCAGCAGATGTGGTCCTAGAGCCAGTGGTACTATTCTAACCTTCATCCCACTCCTGCCTCCCCCAAGCCCTGTCCCTAAAAAACGCCCCATCCCTCACCCCACATACAGTCCTCATCTGCACAGCAACAGCAGCAGCAGCAGCCGCCACCACCACCACCACCGCCACCACCGTCACCGCCGCCGCCCAGGGACACATTTCCAGAACAGCTATAGGTTGGACCTAGTAGCTAGATCTCATCCCCAGGAAAGAAGTCTCCTCCTCAATCAGAGGGTCCAAGGTCATATACAATCTGCTCCCTAGCTAGACCAGCTTCTCAAACTTTGGTGGACTTTGAAGCCACGGGGTGCAGTGAGGTGCTCCTCAAAATGCGGGCTTCTGTCCAAATATCCGCAGCCTGGGTGGGACCCAGGAACCGGCATCTTAGACAAGCATTTCAGAGACCTGTGCAGGTGCAGGTGGCCCCAAGGTGCAGGTGCCCTAGTAAGGGGCTGTTCCAACCTACTCAGCCTCTTCGGGAACCTCTACACCAACTCCTCTTGCTTCTCACCCCATCCCTCTCCAGCTCGCCCCCAGACCAGCTCTCCCAACCCCCCGCCTCACCCAGCAGGCCTGCATTCATCCAGGGGCCCCATCCCCCTCTGCCTTACCGCTTAACCCAGACCTCCGACCTCCCGGCCCCGCCCTCGTGAGGCCCCGCCCCTGAATAAACCCCGCCCCCAGGCAACGCGGACCCCCCCCCCTCACCGAGGCGCGCCTCGCGCGGGGGGTTTTCCATCAGCTTCTTCAGGACCAAAGGGAAGGAGCCGGGCAGGCCCCGTTCCCCAGCTGCGCGCCCCTGCCCTGCCTGCGGCTCCACAGGCGGCTTCTTCCCGCCGCCCGCGTCGGACATCGTGTCCCGCGCCCTGCTCGCGCGCCTAGCTTCCCCCGTCCGCCCGCCCCCTGAGACGGGCCGGAGTCGCGCGACCCGCCGCAGCCGCCGACACTGGCAGCTACTGCGCAGGCGCACCGCCGCACCCCCGCCTCCCCGCATCGCTGCCCCGCCCGCGGACGCGCACCCGCATATTCATTATTCATGAGGCCAAGCTGGCGGCGCTGGAGCACGGCTTCGGATAGGCTCGCCCTGCGAGGAGGTGGACACGACTTTACGAGCCCGGATTGGCCAGGCGGTCAGGGAGAGCGAGACACGTGCGGGGCCAGGTGAGGCGCGCACGCCCGCCCCGGCCCCTGATTGGCGCCTGAGAGTCTGCGTTGTAAGACTTCTCCTGCGCCAATTCCTTACCTCCCTGCCAGTGTGTGCCCTCCGCTACTCTCTTCGTAGCTCCTTCCCTTTTCTCAAGCCATCGCTGGTCTTCGCTTTGCCTCACATCCCACTCTTGCCATCTTGCCTGAGCGCCAAGAGGGAGGCGGGGCTGGGAACAGGCGGGCGGGCCCTGCGGGTCACGTGGAACCGCAGCCGAGTCGGCCAGCGTGGGGAGGGGAAAGAGGAGGAAGGCGCCAACAGCCAATGGGCGACGGGGGCGGGGCCGGCGTCGGGTGCACGAGGCGCCGCACGTGCGGCTGCGACTAGTGGGGGAGCGAGAGGGAGGGCGACGAGGGGCGGGGCTTTCTGTTGCTGGGACCTTGCCCGGGGTCGTGAGACCGGGAACCCAGCCCGGCCCATGCGCCTCCTCCCGCTTGACCCAGAGGTTGGCGGAGGGCGGCGGCAGGGGCGTTGGCCGCGGAAGCGGGTGTCAAGTTGCCCACTGATGCCGGGCTCTGGGCGGGCTTGGTTGCGGGATAAACACTAGCGTGGAGTGAGCATTCCTGAGGCCCAGCCTTGGACCAGGGCCCCGGTACACACTTCCGTCCCTTTTACTAGCTTGTGACCTTGGGAAGGCCCGGGTGCTCCACTGTAGCTTGTTTCCTACGCCATAAAATTAAGTCGGAAGGAAAAACGAAAAATTAAGAAATCAGGCTACAGAGACCCAAACAGCTCTGAATGGTCTTCCATACTTTTTTCTCTTCCTCCTTCTAGAATAAATTTGTTTTTAAAGATCTCTTTTACACAAAGTACTGATCCTGAACTTTGTGGGAGAACCACCCCCGTTCTTAAAATATAAATACTTCCTTAGGAAACGAGGAAACTTGAGGGGAGCACACGGATGCAAAGAGGATACCGGAAGCTGCTCAAGGCATCGCTCAGAACTCTGTACTTCTTAGGTACAAATCCTAGTGTGCTTCACGCCCAAGGAGTGGGGACTTTGGTTTGTGTATCCTTCGTCCCTCGAATGGCTCTAGGCTGTCTCGGTCCTTGGTCCCCCAGATAGGTGCTGGGGCAGGGCACCCAGCTGTCAGACAATAGAAGTTTGCTAGGCGTGGAGCAAAAAGAAGTAGAACAACTGAACAGACCTGGAGAGCAAGCGATCTGGAAGGGTTTGGGTGATGGTAGAGACTGGGTGACGGGACTCAACTCCAGAATTCAAATTCTTGCTTCTACCCTGGGCTGGTTATTTATTTTTTTGCTGGGGGTAGGGGGGACATTATTTCTAATCTCTCCTCCAGCCAATTGCTTCAGTTCTCTAGGCCCCTTCCTTCCTTCCTGCTCGCTCTCTTTCTTTTCTGTACCAGGGATTGAACTCAGGACCCTGCGCTTGCCAGGCAAGCACTTATTCAGCTGAGCTATCTCCACGATCCTCTTTTCTTTGGTATTTGTTTTCACACTGGGGATTAAACATCGGGCCTTCACACCCACTCTGCTACAATTCCACACACACCCTTTCTCCTTCTTTTTTGCCTACTCCTTTTTTGAGAAAGTATCTTCATAAATTTCCCTGGCAGGACTTGAACTTGCCATGGACCACCATGCCCAGGTTCTTTTTCTTTGTATTCCAAACGGATGTAGGGCAGGACCAAGCTTATAGTATTTGTATGAGCTAGTGCATGGAAATTTACAATTGTAATCCTGTAACAACTAGTTTTTGCAATTTTACTAAGATTGTGGTGGGTGCACAGATGGATTCCCACTGTGGGAATTGAAATTGTGTACAGAAGACCTGTGCGTTGAGTTATTTATTCATGGGAATTCTGTAATGGCAAAAGTAAAGATATGGGGGCTGGTAAGATGGCTCAGTGGTCTAAAGCACCTACTTAGAACAAGCTTAGCAAAGCACAGGGACCGCGGTTCAATCCCCCAGCACCACATGCCAGTCAGCCCCAC